CTGTCATCTCTCAGTCAAGAAATCCTTAGACTGCCCTTGTATCTGGGTCTGAGTGAACAAAACAGCCACATTCCCTGTACGTTGTGTGAATCTCATACATAGAAAATTACTGTGCCAGCACCACCACTCAAGGCGCTTTACGTGCTGGAGCCCATTTAGTCCTCAGGTAGGTGGTGGTATCCCTATTTTAGAGCTGTGGAATCTGAAGTTCAGTGAAATAATGTTTTCAAGGTCAAAGGTCGTGAATGGCGGATCCTAGCCCCTGAATCAGAAAATTAGGTTGGACATCTGTTTCCCTCGCCCACCTCCGCGCCTGTCCTCATTTGCTTTTGAGGGAAGGCGGAATGGCTAGGAGCGGGTAAGAAAGGGGAAACTGCGAGCCACCCAGGGTCGCGAAGATCCAAGAGTCTGGGGGATCTCCTGAGCGGCGGAACACAGGCAGCCCGAGAGAAAATTAGGAACCTTCTAGCCTCAAATAACAACCCCCCCTTTTTTTTTTTCTATTAACCTCCACGCTAAACCCCCTCTCCATCCTGCGCGGGATCCCCCTTCTGTGAAGGTAAAAACCAAGCGCGTTGCTTTTCACTAACCTGATGCTGCTCTCACGGCACTAACAAGCGCAGGGGCCGCCATCTTGACACCCGCCCTACGGCAGCCGCATTGGGTCTAAAAGCTTCAGGGCAAAGGGGAATGAAGGAAAAGTAATTGGTGTGGAGTCAAGGAAGGGGCAAACAAAATTAATAAAGGAACCATCAAATCAACCTTTATTGAGTGCCTGACATATAGTAGGCTCTTAATACATTTTTATTGAACATTTGATTGAAAAATATTTAAAATACATGACATACGTGAAACAATTTTTTTGCTCATTTTATTAAATTTATTTCAGATAATAAAAACTTATCTTTCCAAAACTGGTAGAAGGATAAAAAATAGCAGTATTATTAAAAATTATTTTAAAAATTGAATGCCAACTAATGTAAACATCCTACGATATCTCACTCATTTTTCCTAATAACACTGATTGTCATTTGATAGAACAGAATCTCGACTCGTCCTGAACAAGTTTACGTTCCTTAGTTTATTCCTGAGAATTAGTGACTGTATGTTTTTTCTAATGTTCATGCAAATGCAAAAAACCCAATGAACCTCTCTCCCATCCTTGTTGCCCAAGATATTCCATGCATATATAATATATGACACTATTTACTGGTTAATATGAGTAAGGGTTATAACATGGGCAAGGCCATTCTTGGCAGTAAGAACACCAAGGGCTAAGGGAAAAAGAAAGGGAGTCAAGACAGAAAGACGGGATTTATTTAGAGCAGTGGTTCTCAAACTTTTTGGTCTTAGACCCTCTTTACATGCTTAAAAATTGAGGACCCCAAAGAGCTTTTAATTATATGGATTACATCCATTAGTATTTACTATATTGGAAA